GAAACGGTGTTGTAATTGACCACTTCTTCCATGAGACATTTCCAAAAAGCTTTGTGAAGTGCAGTGATTCTTTTCTGTTTTGTTTGTAACGTGACAAGCACATCTACAATGTCAGCAATCGAACGTTTAACTCCTCGTGCTTGTTCTGAAGCAATCTCAATTTCCATGATTCGTTCTCGATAGATGAGATCTTGTATAATTCCAGACTTGTTTTGAACGCTCGTTTCAGCATGGCAGATGCGAATCCAAATCGATTGAATTCTTCTTCCCAAAAAAAGGCAACTAGAATTCCAGCCAAACATAAAATGTTGGATTGTGTGAAATTTTTGTGATTCGTCATGGACTTGACAATGGCAATTCCTAAATCACGATCGTGCAATTGAGTTCCTCTAATTTTAGAATGATTCAAAATGCTAAACTTGATAAACATTTCAAAGCTTCTCATTCTTTTAGTAGCTTCGAGATCTTTCACCAAAAACGAAGACTCTTTCTCTAATCTTTGAATATTTTCAGTATCTGAGAGAGTGGGATCAAAATTGAACATCATGTCTTTTCGAATGGACCACACTACCATTCTTGTATAGATTTCCATGGCAACAAATCCAATGAAAAATCCACCAATAATGAGAGCAAGTGGCAAAAACGACAGACCCAATCCTAAAAATCGTTCATTGGACGAGTTGGAAAAATAGCTCACTAAACTTCCAACAGGAGCCAAACATTTGGCAAAACACACACCACTCATGATGGAATTTTCCACTCGTTTAAAATATGGAACTGAATAAAATAGCATTGGAATCAAAACAAAGGACAAGACAATATGTAGAATGGATCGAACATAAACGAGTGATTCTGGAATAAAGTACATGATTGCCAACTGCAACTCTGAAATGGTCAACATGACGATAGGAAAGGTAGGTGTCTCTACAATAAACATGGCCTTATTTAACACATGTGAATTGGATAAAATGATTGAAAATATGACATTCATGACAATCAAGCACACGATTGAACAAATTGAAAAAATCATTAAAATAATCGTGGTTGCATCGTGACACATGTGCATTGGAAATCTTGACAATACTGGCTGTGGAGTGGAATAACCTGTAAATTTGACATGTTTCGAATAGTTACAATCATAAAACGACGAGAGAATATAAATCATGATGAAACTACAAGTAATGGTAAATGTTCCAAAAACCTTAATCGCTGTCTTGAATTGAAACAAATAACGAGCTCTTCGTGTCAATCGAAATGCCAAAAATACAACACAATTCCACCAAATGAGACAATCATGCACAAAATTGCCAATGACATCATTCCCTCATACGGTAGCAAATCTAAAGAGAGAGTCATGATGAAATTTACAGCTCTCCAAATCAATCTCCATATTCTCCTTGATGAAATGTTCCCTGAGTTCCAATCAGGATACTACATAAACTCGTATACAACACCACACTCAAGGTCAATACATAGTATTTCCAATCTTTTGTACTGATTTATCTTTGAGCATGATGATATTATTCAATAAAGAATCTTGGCACGTGTCATGTATTGTCGAGTGTAGGTATTGGTTGAGGAGGTGTTGTTGGTAGAAACTTCCGGTGAGCTTGAAAAGACAACACTCGGTGGTGCTCGTTTACCAAAATTACGAACTGTTGTTTGTGGTGGTTTGTAGGGTTGAGACATGGAACTCATACCACATTGAGAGGCACTTGTCATGATTCGTTCATTTGATCAATGAAAATGCTAGTTGTTGTTGTTGTTGTTTTGTCTCTCTTGTTGCTTGTGTGTTGACTCTTTTGTTTGTTGAAGGAAAACCTAGATAGTGGCCGAAGAGTAGCTTTCGTAAATGATGCGAATGTTGTGTTGTACAATTCTAAAGGGCTCTTTGCAAGTATACCACAGATGATGTTTTTTGTTGAGTTTTGTTGTATTCATTCAAAATTATTACATCATGGCAGGTTGAAATGTGTTGAAAGTCGTGTTGTGCTTTGATTTGAAATTATATGTGCGTTGTTTGGGTTCTTCCTACTGGTTATCTCGGAACGTAGTTGAATAATGTCGAGTGATGGGTCCATCAGAGTGTTGAGACTGACTTGTTCAACTGTTATGAGAATTTCATTCACGACAAGAAGAGGTTCAAAAAGTTCCATTGTTATTTCTTTCCAAATGAACAACTTGAATTTAATTATTGTGTTTGTTGAGAGATAAATGAGCAATGAGAAATGTTGACAAAGACGGCTGTGCTTGTTCATCATTTTTGCAATAATTTTAAAAAAATGCCAGCAATCAAAAACCCAGAAACGAAAGAGAATACATCGTTCAGTTTGTCAAACCAAAACGGACTGGACCAACCTTCACCAAAGAACAAGTCTATTCAGCCATGATCGCTGTAGAGAAAACCAATCAAGAAAATTCGAAATTTTGTGGACCCTTCGGTCTCTCACGATCGTATAGTCTCCATGCAGAAATTAGTAACTCTTTCGAAGAGTTAAAACAAATTGAAGTTTCAAAGAAGTGTATTGATCTCTTTCTCACCAAGCATGCATGGATGCCATGGAGTAATTGTATGAGCTTGGATCAAGTTCAGGAATGTATGAAAATCATAATGAAGCGAATCAAAGGATCCCGATTATTGGACAAAAATTAATAATCTGTTGGAATCGAACGATCAATGATTGGTGTTGTTGTGAAACAGTAGAGCATGTTCTAATATGACTAATATACGGCCACTACACTTTGGTCGTGTATATATTCGGCGATGGTAATGGCCATAGATATTGGTCATTAAACACCACGACGACAAATCAAGTACTCAAGATGGTGTGACAAACACTGAACTAGATGTTATCTACTTATTTAATATTAATTATACAAAAGGAATTCGAACGAAAGAGTTGACCAACTTGTCTTGGATATGTGTCGTCGTTGGTTTTGTTGAATCATATCCATACAAGTACAGATTATTATCAACAACTACAGATGTTGTAACTGCTAAATGAGCAGGTACGGTTGGAAGATCATCTCCTGACACGGTCACATTCAACAGATCTTTCTTAGTAGTCACACATACTCTCTTAATGTACTTGCCCAAAACGTCAGGATATTTTCCGAAATATAACCTCCAAAGATATAAATATTGTCATCAGTGATACCATTGGTCCATCTGCAATTGGGAAAGGTAAAACAGCATAAGTGTTGATCCATTGACTAACGTTAAGATATGGAGCTCTCAAGATATCAGCATAAGCATCTCCTGTACTGATCTACCACCGAATATGTAGACATAATCGTCAATCTTGCAATATTTCCACTATAGACACCTTTGGAAGGCTACCAGATTTCATAACTTCCCATTGGGTTGGACTTGAAACATGGCATCTCAGAATCGAAGACGTGGCAGAAATATTAAACAAAACCTGCTTGATCTTGCAAAAACTAGACCTCCAAAAATGTAATAATAATCATCCAGTAGATTGACATTCCAGATGCAACGGCATAGGTAAGGTTTGTTGACAGTCTCCCATCCATTCTCAATATTGTCAATAGGTCTCTGTAAATCACATTTGAGATGGAACCATTGACTATTCCTCCAAACATGTAAACATAATTGTTGGCACGAAGAACGTGAGTATTGTAAATTGAACCTTGGAAAATTTTACGGGTAGCGTTGTGGTAATCCAACATTTTCCAATACTCTGGAGATGTGTTATTTCTAACAAATGCATCAAAACCATTGTCAGGGAAAGAGAAGAATGTCTACAACGAACGAATATGAAATATCATTGAGTTCAATATAAGGATAGTGTCTTCTCTCTAGAGGTAAGTATTGTTTAGGAATGCATACACAAGAGAAAAATTAGTTTGTGGAGTAGTAACATTTAGCAGTTCAGCATTCGACGATGAATAACCTGTACCATAGAAATTTCCGTCTGTTGCAAGCATGATGGTGGATTTCTCCATCATTACCATTCAACGGAGCAAGTCTGCTGAAGAGACACGGTTTGAGGTGTAGTAACATACGAAGATGCATTTACACCAAGTTGATAATTATCGTTTGACCCAAGCATATAAGGACCATTCTCAGCAATTGCAAAAGAAACGTTCATATCAGCAATGATTGAAATTATTCTTCGGTTGTCAAAAGAGTAATCTGGAATCTGTACAGGGAATAATCTAGCAGCAATAGAGCCATCACCAATTTGACCCTTGTTATTGAGACCCCATCCATAAACTTACCATCTGCGGTAAGAAGAAGTTGTGGAAATCACCGCATTGGATATCAACAACAGTTTTAGATGCCATGAGCATTCATGACAACATTAGCTGCTTCCATAATGAATGGTTTATCACTGCCACTTCTTCAATTCCAATTGTCCAAACGTATTGTCTCCAAAGGTATGGACTTGACCGAGTGAAGTCAATACAGTGGTATGTAATTGTCCTGCACAAACCTTAACAACAGTTTGATTCACAGAGAACCTTTCATGTAAACGTCGACAGGTCTCCATTTGTCGATGGTGGTTCTATCTCCGAGTTGTCCTCTATCATTTCTTCCCATGAGTACAACTTGCATTCTCATCTACTGCAAAGTAGTTGAATGCACCAGCTGCAATTTGATCATTCTTTTTGGTCCCTGCAAATCCAAGAAAACACTTTGGTTGGAACTTTTCTATAAGGATAGTACCATCAGCAGAAGTCCGTAATCGTTTTTACCCAATCGTAGACAGCATCTTCACTCAAGATGAGATTACCATAATATGTAGAAGCAATTTGCTGTATGTAAGGTTGGCTGGCAGGTCAGTAGGAGTGCTCAACGAGGAAATGGTTGAGATTTTGTGCTTCTCTTCCCAAGCTACCTCCTGTATCTACTCCCATGAGTACACTCGACCATTTGTCCAATGAACAGCCATGACCTGCACCTGCGATATTCTATTTCTATTCTTAGAACGGGCATAAATGTGTATATGACTCCATATATCCATTCACTGGTTGTATGACATATTGCCAGAAATCAAGTGCTGTTCTGTAGTTTGCCATTTGTGATAGCTTAATAGTACGCTGGTAAGATTCTGAGTGAGAGGTTAAAATGAGTATGAATGGTTAAAATAATTTCTATAGAATACTTTGAAACTTCCAACCTACATACCTGATTGATTAATTCGATATTTTCGTTTGTCACCAAAATGGCATTCTCCGTGACGTTTACGTAGCTATTTGCTTCGTATAGATCCTGATTGGATTTATCTGCTTGTTTAATCTTGGCTTCCAATAGAGCATCATATTGTTGTTGATTGAGACCTAACTTGTCACGTAAGGCTTCGACATGGCCATTGCTGATTGCGTATTCGAGTTGATTCTTTGCGAATATTGAACAGCGCTTCTTTTCGTAAGAAAATCCTGTTTGATGGACATTAACTAGCCCTCTTTTGGATCATGAACATGAGCGAGATGACGTATTGTGTGAATGAAGTGGAAGAAGGGGCTGTGAAGCAACATGAACTGAAAGTATCATGATGTTGAAGGTATCCATGTAATGAAGTTAGGTTCAAATAGTTGGGGAAATATGAAATTGATATCAAAAGATGATGAGTTGTTGAAATGAAACAAAGGTACATACCATATCGGTGGCTATCACTATGCGAAAAGCAAACCATCATCATTACTACTGACGAGAACATCTTGCCATGGGAGCGAATGAGGCAAGGTTGCCCTTGCTGTAGTCATTTTTTATGTGTGTGTTTTGAGGCTGCTGTAAATTTACCGTTAATTTAGTCTGATCGTAATGCCTCAGGCTTACCACACCACAAAAAAATGAAACAACAAGGCAGACCTTCCATTATTTCGCTCGAAGATCTGGATTGCCAGTCTTTTGGTGGCCTGTTTATTCATCTGCTCAGGTAAGATTCATAATATGAGGCTTGTAAAACTAATAAGAACTATTGAAAATATGACCATGATGAATGAATTAGTTTTACAACTTGTACGAACACAACAGCTGCCATTAGATGAGGCCTATTATAAATCGCTTGTATAGAGAAAGACGAGATACTATTACTCGGTGTTGCAAGATTACAAGAGTCAAAAGAAAGAAATGCTCGAGCAAGAACTCTTGAAAAATATCTGTCATCAGCGAAGCCATCCAGTACTCTGAGAATAATATTTCACAATTCGGCATACCAAGAGACCATACCAACAATGCTTCGAAAACAAGTCAAGCAATACAACAATGTTTTAGCCACGGTGAAGAGCTCGACTCTTTAATAGCATTCACTAACACAGCTTCAACCATACCTACAATAATTAAGAGATTGGGAGTAAGTGTTACAATATTTTGTTTCTCGCGTAAATGATAAATAATTGTACAAACTGATCAGGACTCGTTAATTATCTCACGACCCTTCAAAATGGACGATCACAAACGAAACCTCTGCTCCACTTCCATTGGTCTTTAATATTACTCATGGCTACTTGCGCAATTATGCCTCTTATCACCCTGTCGTTAGAAAAAGAAACAGATTATCAGCAGTAAAGAGCATGGTCTCCACCTTCATGGAAATGGATTATTGTACTCTTGGGAAGACACAATAAGGGCTCTCTAGGAAGATCTGAATACACTCAAGGAGCTACCTATGGTCTAGATATTTCGAAACCTGTCCAACTTCCACAAAACCTTACAATTCTCCAATTTGATTCCTCCTATTATAGCAACATTGTCTTGCATATGGTCACGAAGTATATACTTGGGGAGAGAATAGTAAAGGAGAAGTTGGTGATGGTACCATTGAACCTCGTGTGGTACCATTGAAAGTCTGTTCTTGGGATTTGCAGGGTCCAAAGATGGTAGAACAAGTGGCTGCAGCACCATACGTTTTTTATGCCATTGATCAATTTGGTAAACTTTATGCTTGGGGAAAAAACAACAGAGGACAATTAGGAGATAGAACAACCATTGACAAGAACAAACCAATCAACGTTTACATGGAAGGCGCTTTACTCAACAAAGCAGTAACTCTTGTTTGCGGAGGTGATCTTCACACAGTTGTACTGACGACCGACAATCAATTGTACTCATTTGGAGACAATCAATATGGACAATTAGGTTTAGGATACGAATCTGCTGCAGACTATATCATGGAAGCTGTACCAATACCAAACCTGCTGAACTTGGTGATGAAACCATTGTTGATTTACAATGCGGAGATTACCACAC